CAATTTGTACAAATATGAAGCGAATAATTCAGCTAAATGAAATAAAACTCCATAGTTATATAAAACCTAGTATGATAGATATTAACGTGTTTATAAACGACTGCCACATAGTGGGAAATATTTTCTTCGAACACAGTTCGTAAATGGACGGACAGTCTTAGAAGCGTTAACTATAACTGAGTCTATATCAATCAAAACAAAGCTTTAAAAGCTAAACCGCAATCAAAAATGTAAAAATGACACCAAAATGCGAATGATTGGACGAACAAATGCCATATTTAAATTTGGGACTTTATATTCAAATATGGTCCGGTTGTAAGAATTGGCATTGAGTTCACTGACGCTGTTTAACAATATAAATATCGAGTACTCGTCGACGTTGTCTTGTAGTTGCAGTAAGATTCGAGAATTAAATTAGGAGTAAAAACATATTACTGTAAAGTGCAAAGTGACAAAATATAACTTACATTGTATATACTGCTAGCATCTGTCTTGAATCGGGAACCATTACAAACTCGCAGTTTCTCGCTTGTTATAGTCAAGCGACTTGATGCGCTGAATCCAATTGAAGATAATATCGATTGAACCCCATGGAACAACGAAACACGGACATACTTTATTTAAAGCAAAAAAAATCAATTATACTAGTATCATATAATCGACAAATCCTGCCTATACTAATACAAGTATAGATTGTTTTGGCAGATCTCATGCATGTATGGTCATTATGATATTAAAGAAAGACATCAGCCATGAAATATTTGCGGAGGCGTAGTGTGCTTTGTTTGTGTTAGATCTGTGAATTGAAATATTTTAGAGTCTATAGTGGTCTGAATGGTTTTGGCACGTGTCAGAAAAATTTCAGCTGATCATGTTTGGTTTTTTCCCCATTAACTTGCGTTTCGTTCGGGTTTGAGCTGAGGACAAATTTACATCATTTAATTGCTAAGTTCGTCAATGGCCCATATGCCGCGGTTTCTAAAAAAACCATCTATTATAATCTGTGTTCAATTAACGAATATATCAATGTTGCTTGAACTGTGTCAGGCCGAATTTTTCCCGAAACTCAAAAGGCAAAAGTCTATTTAAAAATTGTGTCAATTTGTAACAGCGAGTAATATTAGGAACTTTTTATCATGATGCGCATGAAAATATGTGTTGTTGGTTTTCACAGCTTATAAGTATAAAACTACAAATACAAATATATTAATTTTTCAAACAACTGCATTACCTTGTCAAATTTTCTCAGCTATAGCCTGGCTATATATGCCAAAATTTGGGAATATGCCAAAATTTGATTTCTTTTACTCGGTCAAGAAGCCTAATTAACTACAACTGCATGGTTATGTGAGCATTTTTTTCTTCAAAATTGGCACTCACACAGACAGTTCAAGATTTAAGTTTATGTTCGTTTTGCCCCGAGTATGGTTCAATGGATATAAACATTGCTTTTTTGAGATTACATCATTACAGTTTTGAGTAAGTTCTAGAAAATGGTATATATAGCTATTGTATGTGATAAAATATTAAAGTCAGTGTTCATGAATTGTGTGATGCCCAGCTGTCACAATGTTACCGGCGAATACTGTCACCGGCGTCAAATTACACTAGTCAATAATACTATAATTATAAATAAATGCTGCGTTTCCCCCATGAGACACAATTCATAACAGTTAATATGCTGTAACGCTACAATGCCTCGATTAACAGTCGAGCTAAAACTTAAAGTCATTCATCTACACCGCGAAGGATTTCGCGTGTGTGATATTTTGACGAACTTAGCAACTGAATGATGTAAATTTGTCCTCAGCTCAAACCCGCACGAAACGCAAGTTAATTAACGGGGGAAAAACCAAACATGATCAGCTGAAATTTTTCTGACACGTGCCAAAAACATTCAGACCACTATAGACTCTAAAATATTTCAATTCACAGATCTAACACAAACAAAGCACACTACGCCTCCGCAAATATTTCATGGCTGATGTCTTTCTTTAATATCATAATGACCATACATGCATGAGATCTGCCAAAACAATCTATACATGTATTAGTATAGGCAGGATTTGTCGATTATATGATACTAGTATAATTGAATTTTTTTGCTTTAAATAAAGTATGTTCGTGTTCCGTTGTTCCATGGGGTTCAATCGATATTATCTTCAATTGGATTCAGCGCATCAAGTCGCTTGACAATAACGAGCGAGAAACTGTGAGTTTGTAATGGTTCCCGATTCAAGACAGATGCTAGCAGTATATACAATGTAAGTTATATTTTGTCACTTTGCACTTTACAGTATTACGTTTTTACTCCTAATTTGATTCTCGAATCTTACTGCAACTACAAGACAACGTCGACGAGTACTCGATATTTATACTGTTAAACAGCGTCAGTGAACTCAATGCCAATTCTTACAACCGGACCATATTTGAATATATAGTCCCAAATTTAAATATGGCATTTGTTCGTCCAATCATTCGCATTTTGGTGTCATTTTTACATTTTTGATTGCGGTTTAGCTTTTAAAGCTTTGTTTTGATTGATATAGACTCAGTTATAGTTAACGCTTCTAAGACTGTCCGTCCATTTACGAACTGTGTTCGAAGAAAATATTTCCCACCATGTGGCAGTCGTTTATAAACACGTTAATATCTATCATACTAGGTTTTATATAACTATGGAGTTTTATTTCATTTAGCTGAATTATTCGCTTCATATTTGTACAAATTGTCTGAGCCTTTTGACTCGCAAGCACTCGCAAGTTGCGAGTGGCGAGTGTTTGCGAGTGAGATGAAATGCGAGTACTCGCGAGTAGCGAGTCAGAACGAGTACTCGCGAGTACTCGCTACGCGCGAGTGGAGGTACCCTTACTCGCGACAGGTACTGTACCTTCTGTATTGACAATTTTCTATTTTGCATCATGGTCAAATATATAGCAAATGAAAGAAACAGTAGGTTAGTATATACATATGCATGCAGTATATTTTCCTCTATCTATATGATAATTTAAAAATAGCACTTTTTAGTATTTCATGAACCAAAATGTACTTGTATATAAATTATATACGGTATATTAAATAATTACAATTTTACTTATATTAGACAAAATGAACTTGTGAGTTAAAACAGCAAAGGTAATGAACTTAAATAACAATACAGTTTGTTTTGAATTTTGATCTTAGTAGTGCTGTTTTCAGCTTTTGTGTAAGGCTGGTACTTGCCGCCATTGACCAATAGCTCACTCAGGTGGCACATCTTAGAGCCACCTGTCAGTGGGAACTGCTATGGCATAATTCAAAGCTTGTATACATTCATGCTGATGCAGTTTACTGTTGTTGTGTAAGGCTGGTACTTGCCGCCTTTTACCAGCACTTCTTTTGAGTGGCATGGTCAAACAAGCCGCTCATGAAAGGGGAGATGCATGAATGTATACCTTCTGTATTGACAATTTTCTATTTTGCATCATGGTCAAATATATAGCAAATGAAATAAACAGTAGGTTAGCATTATATATATACATACAGTATATTTTGCTCTATCTATATGATATTTAGCACTTTTTAGCATATTGCATGAACCAAAATGTACTTGCATAATACTTTATATATATTTTTACTTATATCAAACAAAAATGAACATGCAAGTTAAAACAGCAAAGGTAATGAACTTAAACAACAATACAGTTTGTTTTGAATTTTGATCTTTATTTAGTAGTGCTGTTTTCAGCTTTTGTGTAAGGCTGGTACTTGCCGCCTTTGACCAATAGCTCACTCAGGTGGCACATCTTAAAGCCATCTATCAGCGGGAACAAATATATGCTGATGCAGTTTACTGTTGTTTTGTAAGGCTGGTACTTGCCACCTTTTACCAGCACCACTTTTGAGTGGCATGGTCAAACAAGCTGCATGATCATGAAAGGGGAGATGCATGGATATATACCTTCTGTATAAATATTGACAATTTTCTATTTTGCATGGTCAAATACTGTGTATACCGGTAGCAAATGAAAGATATATTTTAGCATTCAGCAGTTTTTAGCATTTCATGAACTAAAATGTACTTGTATATAAATTATATATATCTTTACTTATATTAATTCATTAAGTATTAACTCAGTAAGAAACAATTACTACATGGGTTTGCCCATTGGGGGGAATGGTGAAGCTAGCTTCTGCGAACCTGTGCTCAGGCCAAATGAAAAAAATATTTGGTTAGCGTCACATTCTCACAAATTTTCAGAGGGGGGCGGGCAGTGTTTTTTAAATTTTTAGTCATTTTTAAATTTTTAAAGGGGGGATGGGGGCGGTTTTTCTACCATATCGGTGAAATTTTTTGTACTGATGTTGCGAATGGCGCCATTTTACTATAAGAATTCTGTATACCCAAGCCCACACGCTCCTATCGATCAGTATATATAGCACGAAGGTCTGAGAATGAAAAAAATTCAAATATTAAACTGTTTAAGCTGTAAAACGAAGAGATTTACATAAAAAAGAGGCAGCAGAAATCGAGAGGCGAGCGGTGATGCCAAGTTTTTATTTAATTTGGCCTTATATATACTGCATGCTTGTGCCAGGCATGCTGTAAATAAAAATTAAATGTGTAATCTCATTACATTTCTTATTTTGGCATAAGGATGAAAGCTTTGAGGATGCTGTCAGCTTGTAATATGCATGGTAACCCCCCCAAATTCTGGTAAAGGGAAACATTGAAAACTGCAAAGAGATTGATGGCCGTTGTTGCCGAAACCATGGTCCTTTATATCTTCTGAAGATGGCTGGTAGATGTAGCTGTGGCATTTGTGGCTACAAATTATGTACTTATATGGACAGTACCCAGGTAGTCTTATGTACTAAAGCTACTAAACATAAACAACAGCAAGAAGCTACTGGCTTCTGTGATAACCTATTTGTGAACAAGCTCAATACAATTATGATCGAAGATGATGATTAAAACTGCTACGTATTAAAATGTGCTATAGCGATTTTAAGCAATCTTACACGAGGCAATTTTTGTTGCAACTTCTGCCACATAGATTGATGTACAGTATATTTATAATAACATTGATCACATAGAAAGTATTAACTGAGATTCAGCGACCTTAAATTTACTCTGATTACGTTTTACATAACATTGCTATATATGCCAGAAGTTGCATTGCAAGTTGCACCAAAAATTGCCTCATGGCCTTAATTAAACACTATATATATATACAGTAGATATATTAAGACTGTTTTATCTTACCTCTTTGATCTTTTAAGACTTTATATTTCATTTTTCAATTGGTGCATGTAGATGCATGTATTACAGTACAACTGAACTATATATACTGTACATTGAAGGTTTATCAGCTCAAACGAACTGAAACCTGCCAACTGAAACTATTACAGTAAAGTCTAGAACTTATTATAAAATTGACGTCCGAGAATGACTTCCCGATCGAGCCGCCATTTTGGCTAAAGTCACTAAAGTAACTAGAAAATACATGCATGCAGAAACCCTCGCCTTGCAGACAAAACCATTTTATTTTCCGAATGTGAAGTATTTTAAGTAGTTGTCATGGTAACACGATAATTTTTTAAGAATATTTTTACAAATGAAAAATCCCCTATAAATATCACTTATAATTACAAAATTATCAATTTCCTAAACATATATATGTTAGGTATGTTATTATACGTAATATAAGCTTGAATTTAAGGTAAAATTCAACCACAAACGCTTCGCAAAACGTTTTAAAATGTTCTTTTACTATAGAACAAAACTGCCTTTATCGAAATCTGATAAAATGATTCCAAATTCTCCCATGCAAATAACTTTGCTTAGTATAATAAAAAGTGTAATCAATAAAGAAACACTTTACAGTAGGCATAGGCGTACCGGGCGGGGGGGCGGGGGGGGCGGCGGCCCCCCCAGTTTTTTGGGCAGTCGGGCAATATTCGATCAACAGTCGGGCAATTTTGGTTTGCAATAAAAAAAATTGGACAAATTCTGTCAATTTTGTCTAAAATCAAGTCAATTTTTTGGGCAATTTTGCGATTTTTCGAAAATTTGTGTTATGTTCGGAAAAAATTGTATGTCCGGAAAATTTTTTTGACCCCTAAAATGGTACACTGACCGAAAATTTTTTGGTCACCAGTTAATTTTTTGGTCACCGAAAATTTTTTGGTACCAGTCGGGCAGAATTCCGAAAAGTTGGGCAATTTTCTTTCCGCCCCCCTAATTTTTTCCTTCCGGTACGCCCATGACAGTAGGTATGTTATTATACGTAATATTATAAGCTTCAATTTAAGGTAAAATTCAACCACAAACGCTTCGCAAAACGTTTGAAAGTGTTCTTTTCATATAGAACTAAACTGCCTTTATCAATAAACTTTGAGTTCGAAATAAAATGATTCCAAATTCTCCCATGTAAATAACTTTGCTTAGTATAATAAAAAGTGTTATCAATAAAGAAACACTGAAATAATACGCTGTCTTGTTTCATATTTTATATACGCAACGATCGGCTTTTGAAGTAATTACAGCCGAGATTACAGTATATTAAGAGGCAGTCCACGTAAGAACGGATAAGGCAAAATTTGGCCCATCGCCAATTTTCATGATCTTCTCAGTAAAAGTCAACCATTATATACAAGGAACAAATATCACGTTTATTTGGATCAATAACGATTTATACGTACTTTACGAGAGACGGTTTTCGATGACACCTCAAAAACTAGCAAATTGACTGTCGGGAAAGCTGTGTTTAAGCTATACATATCGGGCGCCACCAAAAGTTTATTTCCTTCTTAACTCAGCTAAAAATTTTACACGTCAATTTTATAACTTTAAGTTATAATTTAACTTTTTAACCATAAAATTTAATAACATTTCCACTGAGATATAAGAATTTAAGAATATAATACTAAAATTCCGAAACGCGTTTGGCGCTAAAGTACCTACAATCAAAAGCGATTTTCTCAAAAGTGGGACCTAACCTGGAATTATTCCTATTATTGCTCAAATGTACTAAGACTAGCTTACATACTTATGAAATAAAATTTGTGGGCATTCTTGTTTACGCGCCGTACAAGAAGTCCGCAATTCATAAACTTTCGACAGTTCGTGCGTGCATGCACCGCCAATAATTGCTAATGCAATGAAACAAGATCAAGACAGTTTGGGACGAAAACTAACTGAATATATCATACAAGAACATACAAGTCATTAAATACCAGTTAGTTTTGTTTAAGTAATCATGCTCAGTGATTTTAAACATTTTAAGCCGTTTTTAATTAATCAAAACGATACTAATTTGTTATTGTTATACAATATAATATTTACTTAGATTTGTAAGAATCTGCACTCCAACAACATGAAGGCGTGAAGATTTGATTTTTCCCCATACAAGTATTTCGAATCAAAAGTTAATAGTTTTGTTTAACAGAATATGTCTTTCAGATTTATTTTGATGGAGTTTTTCTTTCGATATTTGTCATTTGAGCAGTGACGCCAGTCATTTAAACTTAATTGTAAACTTAAAATGACAGTCACGGAAACTTGTAAATTTCATTTAATTATTAACTTACACCAGGCTGCATTGCATATACAAGCCATCTTAGGCCTACTTCGAACCTCAGATGTCTTGTTGTGAAATGGCTAATTGCCTTCCATCCAATTGTTCTTTTCATGAAATCTTACAAACAGAATGTGGATCCAGTAGGGGCATTGATACACATGTGCTGCTATCTGAGTGCAAAGCTGATATTTCTGCTCATTTAGTGAGTTGTCACTTGTCCCACTGCTTAAATGTTACAGAGAGCGACTTGATTCTGGCGAGAGCTGGGATCAGAGGGTTATCGTCAACTCATCTCGCACCCATGACTATATGCCCAAAGCACAGGCATCTCTTAGGAAGATTCTGGCGACCTCCGAAGTCTTGCCAATACCCGAATCATTCTGGTAAAAAAACTAGCGTGGCTGGAAGGCACGTCATAAACTGGCAAATGGCTGAAGAAATATATCTCTTATTTGGTATATCTACAGCTGTCGGATCACGTAAGTACATTTTGTTCAGTGTTCAAGCATTTATAGTCTATTTTCAAGCGGCTACGCTGTTAAATGCCTTAAATATATTTATTCTTTTTAACGCCTTCAAAAATATAAGAAATAGGCAAATAGCAGTTCTTCGATTGAACAGCCAATTATCAACGATCTGTTGATTCAACTTTATTTTATGTATAGCTGTATGTACTTGTTGCCGAAAGAATCATGCTGAGCGTATTCTAGCTACAAAAAACCTGAAAACAGCCCCTCTCGATAATCAACCAAGGTTAGTTTAATAAGTAATTAACATGTTTTATTGGGCGAACCGGGAGGACGGGGGGGGGGGCAAAAAGCTGATGGGCCAATTTGAAACGTAAGTCTGGAAAAAATATGCGGGGCCGCAGGAAATAGATGGGAAAGCAAGAAAAAAGTAATCAAAGGATTCAAAGCAATCTAATACTTGTGTATCATGATGCAATTGTAGTCATCTATATGGTAATATCATCTATTACATGTTCATTTGAAGACTCAAACATGACGTATATGGGATCCCAGTGGGGTGTGCTTGTGTGTTGGAGGAAGGTGAAAAGTTTGTCTCAAAAGTCCAGCATCATCAATTTCAGTTGGGCAAAATTTTCTTTGCCCTACCAACAAATTTAGGCCTGTACGTCTATGCCAAAAAGTGGGAGGGGCCAAATATGCATAATTGCATTCCAAATTAATTAAGTAAAAATGGTCGTGTCCCTGGGAGCTTTGGTTCCGATAA